GCCACCTCAGTCAGGATGAGTGGCTGACGATCTCAAACCCATTCTCTGGATCTCCGGGCCCACTTGCTCCAGTGTTATGGCCTGGCATCCTTGTATCCAATTCTCTGCTGCTCGGCATAGTCTGCATAGGAGTCCTTCTCCCCTTTCTTTAAGTCTCAGAACTTCTGTCTGCATGCCTCCAGTGTGATGGCATACCGGGCGAGTAGGACCTCCTTGACCATCTAGTAGTTGCGGAGGTCGACATCTGGGAATGTCCGGTATGCTTTGGTTGCTCAACTCGATAGCTTACAGGCTAGCAGCGGCACCCAGTCGGTAGGGCTGATGTCGTGTAGGGTACACTGCCTTTCAAAATCCTGCAGGTACCCATCGATATCTCCTTCAGTTTCGACCAACGGCTTGAACGCCATGTAGGGTAGCTTAGTTTTACTTTCCAGAGTGGGTGATCCAGTCGGGCTGCTTCCGAATTGCTGTCGGTCGGATAACCGAATCTGTAGTTCTCTGGCTTTTTGGGCCATTACGTAAGCATTTACCTAGGCCGCTGTCTGTCGGACAGTTTCCTCCAATGGTTGGGGTCCATAAAATGTCAGCTGGGTTCTCATGTCCTGCTCGTATTCGGTCTCCTTTGTAGATGAATGCGAGGACACCAGACTTGCTCTGTCGCCTTCCATCAGTGCAGCTACGAGAACAGCCTTTGTTTTGTTGCCGGCTGGTTGTCCTCTTGCTTCCAATAGTTCATTTTAGGTGGGTTTTTTTCAGGGCTGCATAGTTCTCCATGAACAGTCCATCTGCTGTTCCATGGCTTTCCTTCCTTGACAGGAATGATCCCGCCGCTTGCTTCCTGTTGTAGCAGAGCTCCTAAACCCTGGCTGGGTATCTCCACTGGAATATCCCTCGAGCTGGAAGAAAGCGCTGTTTAGTGATATAACCCTTATTCTCCCCACACATCAGATGACATTTGATTTTGGGACAATGCCAAATTCTAATGGGACAAGGTGGTCTTTTATACAAAGACTCCCAGCAGGGGGTCTTCATTGTGCACATAGGTAGTTCTTCCCTGACGTCTCTGTGTCTGGGAGATAATTGAGTCACCTCTCGCTAAACTAATTATCTCCTGGATACAGAGCACCTTACAAAAAAATTACAAATGTAAAATCTTGGTTGAACAACTTGATAGGTTTGTAGAGTTGTGGCAAATCAGGACCGGGTTTAAAAATTAGAATTGTTTGTGCAAATGTCATAGAGGGGATAGGGAGTTTATCTATATAAATACAACTAAAGGGATACTATAGGCATCAAAACAACTTTAGCTTAATGAAACGGTTCTGGTGTATAGATCAAGCAGCTGCAATCTCACAGGTCAATTCTCTGCCATTTAGGTGATAAATCACTTTTGTTTCTGTTTATGCAGCCCTAGCCACACCTCCCCTGGCTGTGACTCACACAGCCTGCATGAAGAATTTCTTTTTATTTTCAATCACTTCTTAACTATCTTTAGAAGTTTTTCCTGCTCTCTAAATTGAACTTTACTCACACACAGGAGCCTCCTGCAGGGTCTAGCAAGCTATTACCGAAGCTGGAAAAAATAAATTCTAAATTAAAAAGTGCAATAACGGAAGTGTAAACATTAGATCTCTCTTTACAGGAAGTGTTTAGAAAGGCTTTGCTCATTTCATGCAGGGAGGTGTGACAAGGACTGCATAAACAAAGTGAATTAATTCCTAAATGACAGAAAATTGAGCAGTGAGACTGCAGGGACATGATCTATACACCAAAGCTGCTTCATTAAGCTAAAGTTGTTTTGGTGCCTATAGTGTACCTTTAAAACAGAGATGTCAGTGAGCTTCAAGCTCACACTTTAAATATTTTGTAAAAGTCTGCATTGAAATAAGACTTACAGAAAATATTAGTGTATGTGAGTGACCCATTCCTTTTCTCGAAGTTGGGAATAGAGTGTTTACCTGGGGTTTGCTCGGCCATATGATTTAGTAACTATAGAGAACTATTTTGTCACTTGTAAAGTTGGTAATTGGCGAATTCCAACCAGGACTAAGCTTTATCCATGCAGAAAGTGTCTGTTATTTAGTTTCAAAGATGATTGTAGGAACCGCACTCAACCCCAGCAACCACCGGTGCTCTGGAACAGGACCAGCAATCCCAACATGTCAAGGCAAAAAAATAAATTTCCGACACTCTAGTGTTAAAGCCACAGGCAGATTTTAATGGAACAAAAAGAGCAGCAACATTTCGACCTTCACATAGGTCTTAACAGAGGTTAGCTTGAAAAAGACTTCTGTGAAGGTCGAAACGTTGCTGCTCATTCTGTTCCTTTAAATCTGCCTGCGGCTTTAAGACTAGGGTGCCTGGAAATGCCTCTTTTATTGCCTTGACGTGTTATTTAGTTTCAACCTATTTTTGTTTTTTACTGTCCCCTGATGGGACTGCAATGCAACTCAAGTGTCACTTTGTTCAAGAAAAATTTAGATAGTTATATTTTGACAACCATTACTTTTTGAAACATTAGATTGTGTACCAAAACAGAATTTTGACACCTAGGTGTTAGAGCTTATCTTGAGCAAACTTTGCCCATGCCAACTCAAACATGTTGCTAAAATGCTATTTGTTGCACAGATAGATATGGGGATGTACCAGCATCTAGTGTGGGATTAAGGTGACCCAGCTTCAATGTTAGGCTTGTGAGCACATGGTCTGACATTAGAATGTTATGTATTGAGCAGTCTACAACCTATAAGAGTAAGTGATGGGAGGTCAGAAAGTAGTGAATGCAAGAAGAGAAGCTGTAGGCCCTAGAGTTTTGTAAGTGTATTATCTTACCTTTATAATCAGAGTGTCCCAAGCTCTGATTATAAAGGAGCTTGGGACACTACATGAGTTTGATAGTTGGCCTTCAATCTGGGTAGGTGGTGAAAAAGAAGTTGAGATGTCCAACTCACAATATGTCACTTCGATGGTCACCCCTAACAATAAACCTACTGTAAAGATGAGAGAGTCCACCAACTGACTCTGTGGAGGCGAAATGCGTTTTTGACGTTTTATTTTACCTTCACATATTGGGTTTTGTTTGTAGCTGTCTACCATTATCCAGAAGACGGACCAAGGATACTCTTCATAATCCTACTACACCATACGCTTGAGCCAAGTGGATAAACTGGCTCTACTTTTTTGAGTGTGTCGATTTTTAGTTAAATGTATCTTTTTTTTTAATTAGTACAACTGCATTATTGTGTCTTTTCTTTATTTTCCATATAGGACATTGCCATTTATAGCCATAGAGAAGTAACGTTTATATTGCTCCGCCTACTGTGTGTTTATTTGTAAACATGAGAGAGTCCATTCATTTGAAAAAGAACACTGTATTGGATTCATTAGAAGCCTATATGTTTACTAGACTCGGGCACTTAAGACATTTTTGTTTTGTTTAAATGTATTTGAACTGGAAAAAAAAGAAATTTGTTTAGTCAGAACCGAATTTCGTCCATTAAATCATTTGTTTTTTAGGACATTATTTTAATTTCTGAGAACCCATTCAGTCATTATTTTGGTTCGGAATTTCATTCGGAGAATTGGCCGTAACTGCATCATGTTGCCATTTAGTAGATGGTCCCATAAATCCCTCAAATATTAGGAAGCTATCTTCTAAAAAGCTGAAAGACCAAAATAGTTTTTATAGCCAACTTTACTAATATTAAGCAAAACATACACAGTATTATTAAATAACAGAGGTTATAACCTCCCTTCTGCCCCTACTCGCCATGCCGTGAGTAGGGATATATGTCTATCAAACAGTGAGCATCCAATGGCTTCATAGTTACGTAGTAGTATAGGTTAAAATATTTAATTCCATCAAGTTCAATGTTTCACACATCTGTTTGTGCTGATGATCGAAAGGAATTCATTCACTTTGTCTCAGTATATATTTTTACTGTGTTGGAATTTCAATGAGATTCCAAAACAGTCAGTCTGAGTAATTCTTAAAGCGTTGATCTTTGTCAAATATAAATTTTTGTTATGGCAGTGACAGTGCCTTTTTTTTTTTATAGGATTTCAAAGAGCTGTGTGGCTTGGCAGATAGACTGAGTTGAAAGATGGGAGGTAGAGATTGACATAGGGCATGTGTCCGTTGCAAGTGCCCCTCCTGCTCTAAAGGAAAGGTATTTCTCTTTACATTGCTGATGGCAATTGTTGTTGCTATTTTAATAGAATGCGTTGTTAAGCACAGAAAATATAAATAAAATGAACAGAACAGACAAGTGAAAGAGGAGTTTAGTAACAGAAGCAAAGAACAAGGGACTGAGATGGGCATGTGTGTTTATAGAGAAAGTGCACTTATATAGAACTAGTGTGTATCTCTGTTTGCCTAATGGAATTATCTTAACAAGAAAATTAAAATGTTTGGCAACCAACTGAATGTCAGGCTTCATCCATTAGCTTGATGTGCAAGTGCACCAGGTTAACACATCTATTATGGCAGTAATGCAACCTTATGTGTCATTCTCCCCACTCACTAACATACCCCCTGTTGTAGTAACTCCTGTGAACATAGATGTTTCAGGGGGGTTTTCACTGGTGCCCCTGAAAAGCAGGAAATTATGAGAAAAAAAACAATGAGGAAACTGACCAGAGCAATTTTTTAAAAAATTCTTTATTTTTGGTTCGACACATATTACGGCATGGCAGTATTCAGTGGCTCGCGCAGGGGCCAATATTGATTGAGACTAACATTGCATAATACAGAAGATAAGCGGTTTTACAAGTTAATGCAAGGTTCTGTTACGCCGTGCAGTGTCGCTGTTTCTGTTTTGGTGGGCTTTTCATGTCCACACATAAAAATAAAATAAAATATAAAATGTAACACAGAACAAAACTCAACAATACTAGACAGTTCATAACTAAGTGGCAGAGCAATTTTTGAAACCAGGAAAAGTTGTCACCTCCAGACAGATGCATGCCCTCCAGGGGACTTCTTTTGAAACTTATCATGTGCCTTATTTAAGTTTAGGTGTTTTGGTGGGGAGAGATAAACAGAATCCTTGACCAGTGTCCTCTGCAGTCCAGTAATCCTGCTATGCTTGAGCTTACTTAAATTTTGTCTGGTGTCCTGCATCTGGGGACATCAGGGAACTGTCACTGGACAGCACAGCTCAAAGGCATCATTAGACGTACTAGGACAATGCAAACAGAATTCATCAACTTTCCCTGCACCCACGATGGGCATCGCAAATGGCATGAGTTTTATCACTGATGAAGCCCACATCAGGGCGTGCACCTCTATCCTGACTGCATGCCTATGGCTCAATGAAACACAAAAGTTAATTTTAGGCCAAATTTGGATAATATGAAAATTCTACAAACCAGCTTTTGGTATTTTGGACTCAGATTTAAAATTCACTTTGACTTGCAGATTTTTCACAGTTTAATGTATATCCCTGCGTGTGTTCGCTGTGGAAACATATAAAAACAAGCAGAGTTGAGGCGATACCTTTAATTGTATTATTATTCCGGTTAGTTAGCCATTAGTATCACTTTGATTCTACATGTGTCCAATGTGTAGGGTCACGACTCAAGCAACATATGTCAATGTATTGGAAGAGGGTTCTGGGTCCGTCCGTTATCTGTTAAAGTGACAGCTTTTTTCGTTAAATCTGTTAAGTCAGTGACTTAGAATTATAGATTAACCCTTTCACAGCAATACTGACCCAAAGTATCGTGCTGTTTAGCCAGCTGCAGCTGCCGAGGAGTTAATATGTTCCTGGGGTGGTCCGTAAAGCTTTGATCGGATTCATCACGTTAAAATATTAATGCACAATGTCTCAATTCCACTAATTGGTGGTTAATTGGTTAAGAGGCAGCTCTGCGGCTGGTGGCAGTTTAATGACAGATTTAACCCCCGATCCTATTAGGAACAAAGCAGCTCAGACTGCAAGATGCTGTGTCAGCTCCTGTACTCGGGTGGGGGTGAGAGCGTCATCATAGGGGTAGTTTCAATCGGCCAGAGTGTGTCACAGCTATGAATGAAACATACATATACACTGACATGTCTTGCGGTGTGAGTGACTGGGCACAGTCCCCAATAATTCTAACAATATACTCCTAACTCTATCCACGCTTCTGTATACTCGTGGCATTTTGACTATAGAATGTTGGCATGGACAATTCAGGTTATTTTTTTTTATTTTTTTTAATACTAACATTTAAAATTGACTATAGTACCTTGTAAAGTCTTTTTGCAAAATTTGTGGGTGTAGAGTTAAAGGGGAGCCATCACTTCTACTTAATAAAAAACACAAAAAATTTACTGATAACATGTTAAAGGAACACTGTTGAGTTAGGAATACAAACTTATATTCATAATGCTATCATGTTCTCCTTTTTAGTTAGATTCAGGGAATAATAAGGGTATTCTTTAACTTCTTTCCAGTGCTTAGATCCAATCGGTGCAGTGGCTCATCCCATCTCCTGAGACACCAGATTTTGTCCAAATCAACAAAATCCAGTGAAAGTAACCAAATTATGACCACAATGGCAATTCTCCTATTAACTAAAGGCTAAAGCCAAGTATGGTCAGAATTCGGTTGGCCGGAGCGAATCTGCACCAATCGCCTGGTTGCATTTGATGTCCGAATCAAAATTGGTGCTTTTGAATTTAAATGTACCAATTCTAAACTGAGTAAGATGCAAATGCATTTAGCATGATGCACATTCGCTATTTATTGTTCATTTGCTTTCATGCAAGCTTTAAGCAACATTTGCCCTCTGCTTGTAGCTAGCTGGCAAAAAATTAAATAACCCTCAACAATGCGAGGGTTAATTTTGTGGCAGTTAGCACTGAGGGCCAGGGTTTAGACAGGGGCCGTTGGGCCACTTTCTGGGCCTGGAAGTCCCGCTCTGAGCTTGATCTCCCACTTCACAGCGGAAGCATTGTGGTCTGTGCCAATATCGGATACAGATCACTTTAAGGGCGCCCTCGCAGCCCCCCGGGCACTTCTTGATGACTCAGAGCACCAAAACTAATATATATAATATTAGTACAGATCATGAAGCTTCCTCACTGGACCACCACGGATCCAACTCACACTCCACTGTACCAACACTGAAGGCAAGCAGGTGGGGAGAGAATATGCACACACACACGACACTCAGCCTCCTCTACACACAACACTCAGCCTCCCCTACACACAACACTCAGCCTCCCCTACACACACAATTAGCCTTCCTCATAGAACCCTCCTCAACACGCTGTCACAAAACTCAGCCACCACACACACATCACCAACACCAACAGAGCCCAGGGCTCAAGGAGGGACAAAATCTGGCACCGTGTCTAGGGCCCTGGGCAACCTTAACCTGGCTCTGCTCCTGGTATATGATCTAAGAACAATCTTTAGATTGTAAGCTCACCTTTATATAAAAGTGCAGCACGTTCTAGATTTCAAAGGTCATGGACAAAGTCATCTGTTCCTATTAAATTTCATTTCTGGGGAGGCCATGCTGACCGGTCGCAGGTTGGAGAGGCTCCTGTAAGATTTGGCCTACTTTGGTGAAAAAAACAAGTTTAACCCCTTAAGGACCAAACTTCTGGAATAAAAGGGAATCATGACATGTCACACATGTCATGTGTCCTTAAGGGGTTAAAGCCTATCTCGGAGTCAAGATACTACCTCTTGTGTCCAGGTAGTTGCCGGTGCCACCACGGTCCCCGAGATCAGGAGTTTCGTATCCCCAGGGGGTGATGCGAGGCTTCGGGGTCTGCGGCCTATGTGGGTGTAGAGCGGGGCGGACAGCTGCCGTACTGTTTCGGAACCTGGCTGCTGCGCAACAGCCCAGTGAGGGAATCACTGCCTAATACTGGCCCTCTGAGCCTGCCTGGCACTGTTCATCCCACGCCTGGGCAAGATCCGCAACTCTGCCTACCTGCAAGAACCTCTGCCCGCAGGACTACAAGCAGCATATACCACAGGCCATAAAACCTAAGCCTGCAGACAAGCGTCGGACCCTCTCAGAAGCCCCTGCCTACTCACCCACAGATCAGGCCTGGTCTCCATGACTGCCTTCCCCGGCGGTGAGCCCCCAGAGATGAAACCTCACTCCAAAGCCCAAGCCTGGAAAGGCCAACTACACCACGACTCCCGTTGTTGGCCATGAGGAGCCAAAGCTGAGGGCACACGTAACAGGCCCACGAAGAACCGGAGGCCGGCGGCGTGGTAATCCACCCAACCAGAAGTAGATACCAAGCATCAGTGGGAGGAAGGAGCAGACCACTGTCAGAAAACACAGTAGGTGCACCCCAAAGGTCCCAGGCTGCAAGACCAGATGGAATGGGCGACACAATTGGCAAAGCTCCAGTGGACTTTCCCAGCACTCATGGGTCACCCGATTGACTGTATGCTTTAGGCTCTGTAGTTACCAACTCTCTGCATTGTTTAAAAATAGGCATAAGTCCTTCCACTTTGACACATTCAGGCTCCTGACACTTACCATGACTAACCCTACCCAGTTCCTGCACACTTAACATATATAGCACTAGAACTAAGCGCAGTAACTTGTGTCCAGACAGCCCAAGCAAATTTAGTGTTAAGCTTGTTTAGTCAGTCGGGCAGGCCTAATTGTTTCTCTTAATTTGCTTCCCTCATCTAACTAATGTGTACCACGTGTTTACCAGTTTAGTGAATCTTGCATGCTGTGATATTTATGTTTAGATCAATGTATATTGCCTGCCTTACTCACTGGTGAATCGTAATTCCTGACTTGTATCCTGCTTTCCATTAACTGTTTAGTCTGCAAACTTAGCATACCCACTGTCATCACACTTGCCTAGACAACTCACTACTGCTTAGCTAAGATTCCTATCACTATCTGGGATAATGTACCTGAGTTTGTGGGGCTTACCAACCTTGCTATTGATTAATTTCTACTTTTTTTTATTTAAAAAAAAAGAATTAAAAAAAATGAGGCTGTCATACACTGGAGTTGATGTACTATTGCATACGTATATGTCATGTGCTTACTTTCTAACACTCCTTTCTCTTCTGTATTGTACCTTTATTGCTTCAATAAAAGAAACATTAACAAAAAATTTGAATTTAGTTTCTGTTTTCATCCAACTGTGCAGTTCTGCAGAATATGGCGGCACTTAATAAATACTAGATAATAATAATAATTAATAATAAGGAATCAGTTACTTCTCCAGGCCGTGCTGTTACCGGAGGTCTCTCTACTTACTTTAGTGGATTAAATATCAATGGCAAACAGTCGGGGTTATTTCCTAAAGTGGGAATTATTGGGAATTTTCAAATGTAAGGACACAGTTGACTTGGAGAATGCTTTACTGTTTGGCTACGTAAAACGTGAACTTTGCAATGAATTCCCAACAATTCTCATTTTAGTAACTAACCCTGTTGATATTCTAAGGCTGTATCCCTCCCCTTTTTGTTGTAACTTTTGTTATATTTTCCAAGTGGTATATAAGACATGTTGGGATTTGTATATTGCAGTGTTGTGGAACTATACCTATTTCACTGTTTTCATATATACGAATTGAACAAATAAATGAAAACATGATAAAAAGCACACACTGTATTTATTGTATAAATATATATATAGGCACTTTTTTTTTTCTTCTAATGCATTGTGTGTTCTATCAAAGGTGAAACTAGTTTCAAGTGAGCCCCCATGTGGTGTTTAAGTAGTACAGCGCCTCTCGGAGATTTACAGTCTGGAAGTGGTACCGAAAAGATTGTGATGAGACCAAACACATTAAAACTCCCTGTAGTACAAATGCTAACATTACTGTTATGCATCACCTACCAAGGCTGAAACTGCAGTACATGGCTGGATTCTGGTCACTGATCCCTTTGGATCACAGCCCCCTGCTTTCGTTTAAATAAAAGCTGTTTTCGAACAGAGTCCATTGCTAAAGGTATCTGCAGAAATGCAGTATAATGTCTGAAACACAATGCCTGTCTGTGCTCATTTGCATGTCAAGCTGGGAACTCTGGGATCGTTGTTGAAACAAGATTTTACGAGTACATATGCCCAAGTAGGACTTCTCAAAGTCCAAACTGAGATGTAGGTGATGCATAACAATATTTGTTGTATCTGGAAGTGTAGAAGACATGCCAATTATCTAAGGAAGTAGTAGATAACCTTTAGCACTCCAGATGTTATGGACTACATCTCCCCTGATGCTTTGCCAGCAATTATAGCTGTAAGAGAATTATGGGAGATCTAGAAAGCCAAAGGCTGCCTACCCCTGACCTTAAAGGGACACTCCAAGCACCCAGACCACTTCTCCCACTACTCTTAACTCTGCAAGTGTAATTATTGCAGTTTTTTATAAACTGCAATAATTACCTTGCAGGGTTAACTCCACCTCTAGTGGCTGTCTACTAGACAGCCACTAGAGGGCACTTCCTGGTTTCTAGCACAGGAAACCTGTGCTAGAGCATCGCTGGACGTCCTCACGCTGTGTGAGGACCTCCGGCGTCGCTCATTTCCCCATAGGAAAGCATTGAAATGCATTTTCAATGCTTTCCTATGGGGAGCGTTAATGCGCTAATTAGGTCTCCCCGGCCGGTGGGCAGGATCAGTCTCGCCCATTGGCCAACGCAATCAGAGGGAGGAGCGGTGCGGAGGAAGAAGCAGCGACGTGGGACATCGTCGCTGCCTCAGGTAAGTTACTGAATGGGTTTTCATCCCTTCAGCAACCGGGGATTGGGGTTTGGGAGGGAGAGGGGACCTGCAGTGCCAGGAAAACGGATTGTTTTCATGGCACTGGAGTTTCCCTTTAAGTAAATGGAAAAATACTTGTATGTCTGTGTTTTATGACATTGAGGATGAAAGCATTTAAATTAAATTTAAAATAAATTAAATGGAATACAATTGGTAAACATTCAATTTAATCATATAAAAATAAAATACAGCATTTTTGCAAGACTGCTCTGTCTGGAAACTAAACATTTCTTAGAATGCGGCCATAAAAAAGCCATTGCTTAAAGCACATCTTTTAAGTATTTCTTTTATAAGCAAACTGAACACATTTTCTAATTTGTTAATTTTGAATATTCAGCAAAATAAAATATGGAGATATCTCGGCATCTTTGGAACTATAGAAGGGCGCACAGTTTGTGCATGTCCAATGCATTATTATTATTAGCATTTGTATAGCGCCAACATACACCGTAGTGCTTTACAATTATAAAAATGGGATAACAGAAGCCAAGTGAAGAAGACCCTGCTCAAACAAGCTTACATAAAACATAACTAAATTTAGGGAGTATAGACATGCTTGTGAATGGATACAAATAAAAAACAGGTTATGTTGCACATATGCTATTTAGCAGATTGTATCCATAGCTTTTATGTAATACAGTGATAGTTACAGACACGTTTTAAGAAATTGTTTCATTCTGCAATTTTCAAGGTATGTGATGTACAGGTATTTTCCTTCCTCTTCAAAATCTTTATCGATGGTATATCCAACAATCATCCCTATTATGATTTACCTTCCAGTTATATCATTATTTTGGTAAACAAATAATACACTTAAGTTCATAATTTCGGCTAGAAATGTTGGTGCTGTTCATTAAAAAGAAAGGAATATGTTGAAGAGAGTGAATATTAATTGGTAAATTCTATTTTTTTTGCAGAAATAGTTGTAGATGCATGGACTAGTTGAGGAAACTGGTTGAGAACTAAACAATGAGACATTTCTGTCCTGAGGGGAGAATAAAATCAATAATAAAACCTGCACTGTTTAGAGAGTGGAATGGTCTAAATTACGTTGATACGCCATCACAATTTTTACTATTCTTCACTGTTGTAGTACTTGTTATCACTTTCCGCTGTCTGAATAAGAAATCATATTGTTTAAAGGGACCTGACTATCTATTAATGTGTTATTACCTCATAAATAACCTTTGTAGAAGTCTAAAATCCGTGGTCGCCAAATGTGGTGTATCACCAAATTAATATATATATTACACAAGGTTCGTCTACATTAAAAGGTATTTATTAAAAGGCAACAACACAATACTATAAATGTATCACAAATACACAGCCGAGACCCACGGAGCAACAACCCTTTTTAAATCCATCTATCTATATAGTAACCCCTTCCACACACACTTGATCTCACCCACGGTTAGGCCTTCATATCTAGTAATGACTCACTGCTGCAAGTTCAACATCACATCCACCAAGGAAGAAAAGGAAGCAACAGAGAGTAACATGGTTCACCATGCTAGCACATGGCGTCTGCACATCTGCTCTGCAGCACAGCCAAGAAGGAACAGAGAGGAATGGAGAAAGGGGGAAGTGGTTATCTCTCTCCTGACTTGTAAAGGTATTGAATTACCCAATTACCATTTCAAAAGGGTAAAGCTTATCCCACTGTAAGCTTGGTCACATGACCCCTGGTCACCATATTAGTTTGATGACAGAATGTCACCACAACTTGAAGGACCAAAACAACTTTAACATCATAAAGTGGTGTTGGTGTATAGTTCATGCCCCTGCAATCTCACTGTTCAATTCTCTTCCATTTAGTACTTAAATCACTTTGTTTATTCAGCCCTAGACACATCTCACATGGCTGAGACTCACACAGCCTCCCTACACACTTCCTGAAATGTTTGTTTCTCATTTTCTGCTTTGCTAAAGGAACACTGTAACGTAAGGAATACAAATGTGTATTTCTAATGCTATAGTACCTTGCTGGCCGGTTAGGTTATTGACATCCACCTATAGGGATTTAAAAAAAGCAATTGGACTTATCCTTTTCTCCTTGGCAGTGCTGGTCTCCTCGCTGCCGTTCCATCTCCTTGGTGGGTTATCTCAGCCAATCCAGTGTTTTACCTTAAGAAAATATTGTGAGACTAGTGCGCAAAGTAGTGTCTGGGTGACAGCCACTAGAGGCATTCTGCTGAACGGCAATGTTTTTACTTGCGGGATTAAAACAGGGTGGTGCAAACATGACACTCAAAACAACGCATTGAAATTTCATGGTCTATGTGCCTATAGTATCCCCTTAATATCGTACTATAGACAACAACAGCCTCCTGTGTGTGATTAACGTTCAATTAACAGAGCAGAAGACAAGAACATCTAAAGTTAAGCAACTGTGCTGTAAGATCTGATTGAAAATTTATATATATATATATTTTTTTTTATGGAGGCTGTGTGAGTCATAGCCAAAGGAAGTGTGGCTAGGGCTGCATAAACAACACAATAGTGATTTAACTCCTAAATGCCAGAGAACTGAGACTGCAGGGCCATGACATACACAACAAACTGGCTTCATTAAGTTGAATTGGTTTTGGTGCTTAGATTGTCTCTTTAAGCATTTTCTGTATGTTAATAGATTGTTAGACTGCTATCTGTTTGCATTTATTGGTATTCTGTAAAATTCTAAGGATCGATGGAAATTCTCTCTCATGAGAATGTCTCTTACTCCGCATCGTCAGTTCTTGATAGTCCATTGTTGAGTTGATGGGTAGTCACATGACGTTACACTTCTCCTCTGCCACTCTCTTGACCTCTGTGATTGTCCCTTGAGCTCGTGTTTTCAGGGCATCAATGTCCAATTCCGGTATCATGGACATGAATGAGTTCTGCTCTTCTTCTTCTTCCTCATCCTCCTGCACCATCTTAGCCAGGTCTTCTGGAAGATCTACGTCACCTCCTACCATCTGTAACTGGGCATCGTCCTTCTCACTCTGAAAGAGGAACAAAATTCCATTAGGTCTGGATAGGACAAAATTTAGTGTACTCATTAAAAGTGATCTCATTAAAAGTAATCTCGATCTATATTATAGCATGCTAGTCTTGGGTACACTCAACCATGCTTACTTTTTGAAGAGCATAACCATCATCTACATTGAGCTAGCAAGTATATTAACAAATAGACTTGTGCATTTGGTTTTAAATTAAATGGGATTTGTCCACACTTAGGGTGATTGGTGGGTCATCCAAATTTCATAACTCTGAAGTGCCATATGAACAAATTAACATATTCCTCCATTGTCCAGCTTCTTTGTTCACCATATAAACTTATCGCGAAAAAACAAGCTGGACAACGGAGGAATATGTTCATTTGTTTAGTGATTTGGAGTTCCCTCCGTGGAATCCAAAACAAAGAGATGATTGATGATAAAAAAAAAAAAAAAAAAAGATTGATAGGAACAACCAGATCAAGTGAGAATTGACCAATATATATGTTATTTATATTTAACTCCAGACCATCTAATTGAAGTGATCTGGGTTCACTGTCCCTGTTCCCTTAACCATGCAATGTAAAACATTGAGATAAAGTTTGAAAGAAACTGCAATGTTTACATTGCTTATTAAACCTGCCTCTAGTGACTGTCTCCAAGACAGGCACTAGAGGCAATTAATGCAGTTTCAGGGAGTCTGACTCTGTGAAACTATGCTGGACATCCCCATGCATTGCATAAAGATGTCCAGCGTGTTTAAAAAACGCCATAGGGGTCGTCTTGTAGGACGGCATAGCATTCCCTAACATCAGGAACTGGTTAAATATATAATATTTATATTTTGCAGAACACTGGTTGGCCCATTTGTGCACCCTTTTCTATTCTACTGAATCATTTTCCCAAGTATTTGCGTGGACAAAAAATATCTGTGATGAAATGCCCTATGGACGATTTTCAGACTACCACCAATTTTTTTTTGTTTTAACTGCAGGTGGACTCTCCCGTGCTATACTTACTTCCTTGCGGCACACCTCACCGACAATGCACCGCTCCAGAGTAAGGGGGTAGGTTGATACGAGACTTTCTTCATGAGGCCTGCAGCAGACTCTGTGTGGGAACTCTTCCCACACCTGCCTACACATATATATGCCTCCGAACCATGTCTTGCCCTCACACTTCGAAGACAAGACAATCCCACTCATGTTTGTTTGCAGTTGTACTTTCTATTATTTTTTATTGTTTCATTTCCCTGCTAGCAACCAGAGTAATTGTGCTTCTTAAGTTGCTAACCTGAAGCAGAGATATTTCTTTTGAGTTAAATAGCGATCTGAAGTATGTTTATACCTAGTAACTGTGTAGTCCAGCCACCAACAAAAGCAAAAATAGAGGAGGATTAAATGTAGTTACGCATAGTCCACAACGATTATTTATGTGATGTCACTATTACTGAAAGCAAGTTTTATAATTGATAATGTTGGTTAGAGCCGCATGTCTGGGACCTAACTTTATATCCGATAACCGATATCGACCGTCAAAAATGCCACCAGACATGCTAGACGTATCTTGCACTGTTTAATACTGCACCACAAAAGTGCAGAACACTCTAATGCCCTGCACCTGTCACGCTTAGCATAAATCCTTTAAACATAAAATGAAGCAGTCACTCATAAGAATGTATGTCAATGTCACTGGCTAATACATGTAAGTGTATACTCGCTGATATATATTCTTTCTTTTCTTCCTTTCTGTAACAAATTCACAATGCTTCAATAAAATAAAGATTGACAAAAATACATAAAGGGAATCAACACAGTAAAGGAGGAGACTATATTTAAAAGAAGAAAAACTACCACAAGAGGACATAGTCTTAAATTAGAGGGAAAAAGGTTTAAAAATAATATCAGAAAGTATTACTTTACTGAGAGGGTAGTGGATGCATGGAATAGCCTTCCAGCTGAAGTGGTAGAGGTTAACACAGTAAAGGAGTTTAAGCATGCGTGGGATAGGCATAAGGCTATCCTAACTATAAGATAAGGCCAGGGACTAATGAAAGTATTTAGAAAATTGGGCAGACTAGATGGGCCGAATGGTTCTTATCTGCCGCCACATTCTATGTTTCTATGTTTCTAATGACAGGGCAAAGCAGGCAAATCCACCTACAAACGAATCTCCTGTTCCCATCACAGTGCTATTCCCTTGTAATTATTTAGTTTAACATCCACAGACCTCGGAGAATGGTGACAATGGTGGCAACTTATACAGAAAATAGATATGCAGTGCATATTTATGATAAATTATAGATCTGCTTTAGGTTCTATCTTAAGGTGAACCTGGTATGACCATATACAGGAATCTAAAGGATAAAAAAATAAAATAATGAAGACTCACACACAGAGCAATTGGCACTGCTAGGGAGTGTTGGAGGGCTGAAGCCCTGGATGTGCGAGTCTTTAGCCCAGGATTTCTATAGTTGGTGGAGGGAGCAGGAGGTTATTAGCCGACTATTGTAAAAAGAAAGATCCGTGGGATATTACATCGCCAGTCTACCAAAAAAAAGAGATGGGCTGGTGCTCCCCAAGTGGCGCTTGGAAGTAGTTGTTGGGGGACAGAACTTTGCTGAATGCCCATCGGTTAGTTAGGTAGTATGGTGGGATAACATTGAATACTTGGCTATGCTTACATTGTGCACGCTGTTTATGGGTAGAGAAGAGGAGACATACCACAGAAAGCTTTGGATATGTCATAACACCTCTCTGTTAGTCTAGGGGCCATTGTTCTCTTTTGGTTCAAGCCCCAGGTGCTTCTAGAAACTACACGCATGGAATAGCCTTCCAGCTGAAGTGGTAGAGGTTAACATGCGTGGGATAGGCATAAGGCTATCCTAACTATAAGATAAGGCCAGGGACTAATTAAAAGTATTTAGAAAATTGGGCAGACTAGATGGTCTGAATGGTTCTTATCTGCCGTCACATTCTATGTTTCTACACCTGTACAAAGCCTTCCTCACACAGTTCTCCCCCATTCTGTCTGTCCCAGTCTTTTCCTGGCTACCCATCTTCTAGGTCTTTTTACAGAATTTTTGGAATTAATTTATCCTTTTCTCTAATTTCTCTTTATAACAATACTCCTGCTCTAGTCTCTATGATCCCATTTATCTTTTTATCTGTCATATTTTAATTTTGTACCTTCCTTTATTCTCTTGCCCGTGACACTCACTCCTGATTCCTTGTCTCAGATTGCTCCCTTTCCCAATTTCCCATATATCCATACAAATCATCCATGTTGCTATATACACCATAGCTTAGGTAAATATCCTTATAGTATCTGTAAAACAACATCTCAATCAGGGGGACCAAGTCCTCTATCAATCCTGAGCAGCAGTGAACATCCATATCAATGAGCTGCACTGAGATGCAGAGCCCCACTATTCACTGTATCATATTCATGTGTGTGTGTATATATATATATATATATATCACTATTGGGGGAGGAGCTGAACTAATGAACGTAGTTGCTGATTGGGAGTGTAATATACATTTTGTAAGTCCTATTCACATGGACAGCACACATGATATCACCTAAAGAAACCCATGAATAATTTTTAATGCCATTAATGCCCGATTTAGTAAGAATAATATTTAGAAATACTGAAAAACTATTTTCTTTTGTAAATTAACACTCCAAGCAGCATAATCACTACAGCCTGGCATGTTCTGACAACTTACTCGAGTCCTGCAAGGCACCCGGGCTGGATCCCCTACCACCAGGTGTCTCCTTTAGGGAAATCTGGTTAGGTCTTCTGAGCTACGCCTAGCCATGCAGGACCGCGCTCACTGGCTGAGGTTCCTGGTAAACAACTGTATTAAATGTGCCTCTGGGACCCAGGAACGCTAGAAAATTTTACTAAAAAAGTTTTAACAAAGTACAATAGGGCAGGCCCAGTGCACGTCTGGCATCATACACCGCTATGTCGCTTGGGGTGTTCCTTTTTAAGTTCATCCCATAATTTGAGCTACTTACTTTAACTATAAGAAAACTAACACAAAATAGATCCATGTATTTTTCCTTATTTTGAAAAGTACGTCATTCATAGAATAACCAACAAGATTAGATGTTGTAAATCTGATTTTAGAAGGAATGCTTCCCTCTTTCAAACATAAATGTTTTCAAAACTTGTTATGATAAGCACATGTAGTTTCAATAGCAGGTACAGAACACTAAACCATCACATAAAAGTATAGATTTTGAAAAGTAGACATCTCTGGGCCGAATGTATACAAATGCGGGGAAAGCCCTGATTTGTGGTCTACTATATCAGTGAGTACATGTTTCTCCATATAAAGTTTTGTCAGTATTATTTAATGTTACAGAGCCTAGAAGTGTGTGGATACTCCTTAGTACAGAAGTGGGATATCAATAAGTCATGGTGCCTTACACTGACAGGAGTCAGGACTCATACTTTCAGGATTCGAAAATGGCTGCCATCATAAATTGTGTCCCTTTTACCTTACTGGTATGTCAGGTGAGGATCTGGGGATAGTAATACAATGGGGGATATTTATCAAAGTGTTCTGAATACAGCAAGTCATATGGAAGAATTAAACCAAACAAATTAAGAGGTAATAATGCATTCACAAATGCATGAATGAAAATAGCATTGAACATATGATACTGTTTCAGTATGAAGATTCAGGAATATACCTCCAATAAATTGATGCTTGCATGTGCAAAAGCACAGACGCATTTATTATATGTACATTAAAACGTATTTTTAAAAGCACATCTTCTGTAATGGGAATCTTGGTACCAATGTCATACAGCCCAACGCATTTTGTCACCAAAACAATGCCACTTCCTCAAGGGCTGCTAAGATTGTAATAAAACAACATAATACACTGATTAAACAGTAATGACATATCAATGAATCTCTGAATGAGCCTTGCAATGTTTTTATTTTCCATGCTATACTGTTATATTTCCATTATTTTCTGTATATCCGTAGTGTTCAGAATAAAGTCCTTCCAATTCTTGTACCCTAGACAAACTCTGACTTTACATTTTTCCTCTTTGCGTATCTTCCTTCTCTGTACTTCTATGTTTAGGTATGCCCAGCAAATACATGCAATACAATGCCGAAATATATAAACCCTTTTTGTATATGTAAAAATGTGTGCAATGCTTTAGGCATTGCAACATTATGGATAAAATAAACATGTTTTGCTAGTAAAAATATAAAAAAAAATATTACAACTTGTCTATTAAACCTCATCCTTGATTTTGTTCCACAATACGTAGCCCCTCATCTCTTGTTACTGTGTTGTAAATATATAACTGTAGAAAGTATATGAACAATTAAAATCAATTTATCCTGCATTACCAATATTCTGCATATGTAGAATTTTTTTTTACCACTAATAGCTCATTGGAGGCTAGGTTGCCTGTTAATGCCATTGTGACCCATGGCAGGGTGTCATTCAGGCAAATTAATGTCTCTCTCATGTCAAAAAGCAACACAGGATTAAATACAGGGCAATGGGGGTTTAAAAAAGGACATAGGGGAAAAAAAATAAAGTAAAGAATGTGCCAAGAGCTCTGTAAGAATGTGTTCTCTGTCTAGTTGGTAAGGAAATTCAGTTTGCCCCGTGTATATGATTTTCTGTGTGTACCTCTTTGCTTTTTGTGTGTGCATGACTGTGCTGTAGTATGTGTGTCTGTGCCTTTACATATATACACAGTGACTGTGCTGTATGTTGAGTGTTACTGTGTCTGTAGTTGCTTGGCTGTTCTGTACTGTGTGTCTATGAGTGTGTATGTGACTGTGTTGCATTATGTTTGTCTATATGTCCATTCTTTTGTATGAGTGTAAGACTGTGCTGTAATATATATGTTTATGTCTTTGTGCATTTCTCACTGTGCTTCACCATGTTTGTCTGTCTTTGGGCTTTTCTGTGTGCGCAGAGGGGTGGGTGGCTTGTGGCGGCCACAAACACAGGTTATCTCAGAGAACCATTGATTTTAAAGATGGTACTGAAGTGAATAATCATATATTTATAGAAAAGTAATGAATACATTATTAATAATAACACACCAAGCTTGGTCTTAATCCTTACCTGTTGTAGTCTGTATTTGTCCCTCATATGCATCCTGACTGTTGCCCGTTCTGCCTTCTTTTGTGCAAAGACATGATCTCTCTCAATCCTGCATACACACATTTATGTTATTGCGCTACACAAACACAAGGCTCAACCTTAGTCATTTATATACAGCAATTTTACTATGACATACAAAAATAAACACTATCTTTTACACAAACCTGGAGAGATATTAAACGAAATGTGGATTTGGAAATGTGCATTATATTGGAGTCTATTTTGAATATAAAAATAGTCTCAAAGAGTTGATGGTTAATAAAATTGTGGTGTGATTTATGTATACATGCACGGTGGTGTGACTAACATGGTTGCAGGGATTGCAATCGCGACTTCGCTTGTCATTCCAGGGGGCCCGGCCGCCGCTGCGACCCCTGCGACTGTGGGCCACCAACATACCTTCAGGGCCAGTGCACTGCCGCACCGGCCAGAGGCGCGCGGTCCCAGGGTGGTCAGCAGGAGGGGAGAGCTGTGCAGCTTCTCTCCTGCTGCTGTGTGTAGTGCGGCAGAGCACCGCAGTTTCACAGGAAATGCTCACCGAGAGAGCACTTCCTGTCTGATCTATGTCATCGCTGCAGTGACCAGGTACAAGAGGGAGGCGAGAGACACATGCAGGGGCCTGGGGGTACAGACAATGTGACATATGGAGTGGCTGGGATGTAGGAGGCAATTGGACGATTGGAGGGGCAATGAACACACAGAGGGGCTTGGGGGGGTGATGGGACACAATAAAGGGCTTGGGGGGATTGAGACACCTGGAGGGGAAGGAAAGGGACACATGCAGGGGCTTGGGTGGAGGAAGTGAGGCCATAGGCATGTGCCAGGTATGATCAAAGAACTCCCTCACCGACCCACAGGCAGGGAGGGAAGCAGGAGAGGACCCGGGGAACTCTTGCCAGCAGCTCCGCCAGGTTACTCTCGCGAGGTCGAAGCGTTGCTGCGGCAGTGCTCAGATCTCGCAAGAGTGAACTCTAGCTCCGCAGGCTGCGGGGCTAGAGTTCACTCACCACTGGACCACCAGAGATGGCAGCAGCACGGTCCCCCCTCCCTACATAAGGTAAGAAGGGAGGGGGGTATTAACTAAACGGCCCCCACACACATACATCACCCTTCCACACACACTAACAGCACCCTCACACTAACCGCACCCTTACACACAGCACCCTTACACATAAACACACTAACATCACCTACACACATGCAGCACCCTTACACACATATACATCACCCTTAAACACACATACATCATCCTTACACACACATAGAGCGCCCTCACACACAGCGCCCTCACGCACACACAGCGCCTTCACGCGCACACACGGCGCTCGCGCACACACAGCGCCCACACACACAACACCCTCACACACACACACACACACACACACACAGCAGTATATGTGTGTGTGTGTGTGTGTATATATGTATGTGTATGTGTGTGTATATATATATATATATATAAATATATATATATACACACACTGCTCAAAAAAAATAAAGGGGACACTTAAACAACACAATGTAACTCCAGGTCAATCACACTTCTGTGAAATCAAACTGTCCATTTAGGAAGCAACACCGAGTGACAATCAATTTCACATGCTGTTGTGCAAATGGGATAGACAACAGGTGGAAATTATAGGCAATTAGCAAGACACCCCCAATAAAGGAGTGGTTCTGCAGGTGGTGACCACAGACCACTTCTCAGTTCCTATGCTTCCTGGCTGATGTTTTGGTCACTTTTGAATGCTGGCAGTGCTTTCACTCTAGTGGTAGCATGAGACGGAGTCTACAACCCACACAAGTGGCTCAGGTAGTGCAGCTCATCCAGGATGGCACATCAATGCGAGCTGTGGCAAGAAGGTTTGCTGTGTCTGTCAGCGTAGTGTCCAGAGCATGGAGGCACTACCAGGAGACAGGCCAGTACATCAGGAGACGTGGAGGAGGCCGTAGGAGGGCAACAACCCAGCAGCAGGACCGCTACCTCCGCCTTTGTGCAAGGAGGAACAGGAGGAGCACTGCCAGAGCCCTGCAAAATGACCTCCAGCAGGCCACAAATGTGCATGTGTCTGCTCAAACAGTCATAAACAGACTCCATGAGGGTGGTATGAGGGCCTGACATCCACAGGTGGGGGTTGTGCTTACAGCCCAACACCGTGCAGGGCATTTGGCATTTGCCAGAGAACACCAAGATTGGCAAATTCGCCACTGGCGCCCTGTGCTCTTCACAGATGAAAGCAGGTTCACACTGAGCACATGTGACAGACGTGACAGAGTCTGGAGACGCCGTGGAGAACATTCTGCTGCCTGCAACATCCTCCAGCATGACCGGTTTGGCAGTGGGTCAGTAATAGTGTGGGGTGGCATTTCTTTGGGGGGCCGCACAGCCCTCCATGTGCTCGCCAGAGGTAGCCTGACTGCCATTAGGTACCGAGATGAGATCCTAAGACTCCTTGTGAGACCATATGCTGGTGTGGTTGGCCCTGGGTTCTTCCTAATGCAAGACAATGCTAGACTTCATGTGGCTGGAGTGTGTCAGCAGTTCCTGCAAGACAAAAGCATTGATGCTATGGACTGGCCCGCCCGTTCCCCAGACCTGAATCCAATTGAGCACATCTGGGACATCATGTCTCGCTCCATCCACCAATGTCACATTGCACCACAGACTGTCCAGGAGTTGGCAGATGCTTTAGTCCAGGTCTTGGAGGAGATCCCTCAGGAGACCATTCGCCACCTCATCAGGAGCATGCACAGGCGTTGTAGGGAGGTAATACAGGCACGTGGAGGCCACACACTACGGAGCCTCATTTTGACTTGTTTTAAGGACATTACATCAGAGTTAGATCAACCTGTAGTGTGTTTTTCCACTTTAATTTTGAGTGTGACTCCAAATCCAGACCTCCATGGGTTGAAAAATTTGATTTCAATTTTTTAATGTGTGTGTGATTTTGTTGTCAGCACATTCAACTATGTAAAGAACAAAGTATTTCAGAAGAATATTTAATTCATTCAAATCTAGGATGTGTTATTTTTGTGTTCCCTTTATTTTTTGAGCAGTGTGTGTGTATATATATACATATATATATATATATATATATATATATACGCGGTGTGTGTTTGTGCTTTAGGGTGCACACCCTTATACTGTAGGCTGCGCACGCCTATGAGTGAGACACTTGGGGTGAATGAGACACATGAAGGTACTTGGGTGGAAATAAGACACATTGGAGGCTAGGGGGAATGGGACACATGGGAAGCTGGGGGAGGAATGAGACACATGGAGTGGCTTGGGGGGAGGGAATGAGAAACATTAAGGGACTGGGTGGGAGGAAATCAGACACTTGGGGGGGATGAGACATATGTAGAGTCTGGGGGAAGGAATAAGACACATGGAGAGGCTGGGTGGGAGGAAATGATACACTTAGAGGGAAATGAGACACATGGAGGTGTTGGGAGGCAGGAATGAGACACATTTAGGGGCTGGGGGAGGGTATGAGACACATGTAGGGGCTGGGGAGGAGGGAACGAGACACATGGGGGGGTCCCAGGGCAATTTTCGCACCTGGGCCTGGTGGTTTCTAATTACGCCTCATGTGTACATGCACAATCAAATATATAACAGATGTCAAACAATTTGACAATGTATAAAAATGGCATATCTATTTTGTTCATAAACATCCACCAAATAAACATGCAGATATTTTAATTTCCTGTATACAGCAGTGGTTCCCAACCCAGTCCTCAAGTACCCCCTACCAGTCCAGGATTTATGGATTACCCTGTTGTGTCTAAAGGTTTTTTTTTTCTTTCTTTCTAAAAACACCTTAGACAGAACTGGGTAATCCCTAAATGCTGGATTGTTTGGGGGTACTCAAGGACTGGGTTAGGAACCTCTGCTGTATACCATAGAGCAGTGGTTCCAAAACAAGTCCTCGTGGAACCCCTACCAGTCCAGGATTTAGGGATCACTCTGTTGTGTACAAGGTGTTTTATTTTCTTTTTTTCTAAAAACACCTTAGATACAACTGGGTAATCCCTGAATCCTGGACTGGTAGGGGTTCCACGAGGACTGGGTTGGGAACCACTGCCATAGAGTGATGCCACACTTTAAATCGAGGGGTGTGTTATGCCTAGTGCAGCATCAGGACTTAGCTGTTGTGACTAATGGGAGTTGCATGCCTGGGCAGCAATCATAATCCCTAGCTGCCATCATTAATTCTACAGACTAAGTAGCAGTAGCTGTGATTTGCACCTACTGCCCAGAAACATAATTCAAGTAGCTCGGAACATGTAGGTCCAGTTACTGCATTAAGAAAAAAAAGAACTGGAGCATTTGTGAGAATGTGCGTGTTTGTGTGTACATGTGTGTGTGTGCATGTGGTGATTTTGTGTATATGTGTCTGTGTATATGTTAGTACTCCCTCCAACAGCAGCTGGAATCGCAAGTAACAATTTCTGGTACTCCAGCTGCCGTGGAACGAATTCAATAAATCTTTTTTATTTTATTTTAAATGTCATATAATATAGAAAATATAATTGTATGTAATCATGACGTCCTCATCGGGGGAAATTAAAGCCATCTGGAGATATTCATAAAACACCTGACATCCAGTCTCATCACTCTGAAATCCCTCAAAGGAATTATTTTCACTTCATTGTTTTGCATCCTTAGTTATTGTCAAACAAATAATATCTATCTGTACACATCTAGTAATTTTTTCGTGTTTGTATATGCATGTTACAGTAAATGGCACTCACTTCTCCTCCACCAGCTGTCTCTGATACTCTTCAAACTCTTCTCTTGTCATGCCTTTGGATTGTGCCGTCTCTTTTCCGTCCGGAGCCTCCTGTGTCTCTGTTTCCCCACTAAGGTTGTTTCCTAAATTCTTCATGGAGTTTCCCATCATGTACTTTAGCATGAATGCCATGGTCAAGATATATAACGCTGGCTGCCCTGTGTCCGCAGTTTATTCACTCACCCTTTGGATATTGGTTTATGGTTGTCACAGTTCAGAACATCCTAAAGAAATTCCTTTTCTTCTGTGATCCAAAAGAAATGCAACTTGCATGCTTTGTCCCAAAACAAAAACAGACCCCCTACCCTAATCATGGACTAATTCTTCCTCCCAGTATTCTTGCTACTGCTTTCTCTCGTCAAGGTGTACAAGGTGAACTTGTCCTGCGGATAGCCTTAAACAGCTTAAAGCATTATGTATTAGGGAGGTGGAGTCGATTGTATCCTCTTCCACCCGGACTAGGGAATTCCTGACACTCGTTCACCTTTTCACTTGTTTTCCTCTTTCACAGTTATCCCACAAGTGAAACAGATTTGATGCCGTACACATCACAAGCCCAACAGGGTTTGTTCACTAAAGTGAGGATTCAAAGTGAATTTAGAATTTAAGGGGCACGTAGCCAAACGAGAAACATAACTGACTTAGCGATTTTTCCCAGGTCGGCTATTTGGATGTTACATTTGAAATCACTTTGAATTCTCACTTTAGTGAAAAGCTTTGTAAGGGTATATTTTAAGACAGGGGTGTCCAAAAGGTAGATCCACAGATTTTGTAGAACTACAAATCCCATGATGCTGTGCATGCCTTTAGATTGCTTTACCATAACAAAGCATCATGGAAGCTGTAGTTTTAAAACATCTGGAGATCTGTATTGTGGACACCCCTGTTTTAAGAGATACCTATATTCACATGCAGACATGTTTTATACAGTATGTCTCCAATTTAAATCCTACCACTCTCCACAGCACAGGCATGTTAAGAGGTGTGCTGGGGGTACCCAATCGAACCCTAATTCAAAGCCAATTTGTCCTCATCTCTTTATTTATATCCCTACCTGCACATGCATGTAATTTGATGATTTCTGTTTATCACTGAAGCAAGCATTTAGTATTTCAAGACCATTTTTAAAGTTGCATTTTTACTTAAAGTTATTTTCATGACTATAGTGTCCCTTTAACTTAATGAAGCATTTTTTGTGTATAGATCATGCCTCTGAGGTTTCACTGCTCAATTCTCTGACATTTAGGAGTAAAATCACTTTTTTGTTTCTATTTATGTAGCCCTAGTCACACCTCCCCTGGCTGTAACTGCCACAGCCTGCATGAATATTAAATTATTTCATTTTCAATCAGATGTAACTTACTTTAAAGTTTTGTCTCCTGCTTTGTAAATTGAACTTTAATTACACGCAATAGGCTCTTCCATGGTCTAGAAAACTATAATCAGAGCCAGAGATAAGAAATTCTAAATTAAACAGAATTTGCAATAAAGGAAGTGTAAACATTAGATGACTCTTTCCAGGAAGCGTTTAGGAAGTCACATGCAGGGAGGTGACTAGAGCTGTATATAAAAGTTATTTAACTCCTAAATGGCAGAGAACTGAGCAGTGAGTCTGCAGGGGCATAATCTATACACCAAAACAGCTTTATTAAGCTAAAGTTGTTTTGGTTACTGTAGTGTCCCTTTAATGTTAAAACATCTTTGTATTTCCAAAACTATAGTGCTCCTTTAAGCTTTTGACACAGTTAGATTGCCACACATTTACACACTGAAGTTAATGTAAGAAAAATTAAATGATGCCTTTGTTGTCTTACTTTTTATTAGTAAAACTAAATCAGTAAATAAAATATGGGCTGTGGTCCAAGTTTCAAAACAAGATATCTTATACGTTTTGTTTGTTTACATTGATAGCCTTTCAAGTGTTTTATATCTAACCATAACAGTTTTGGTTTTTCCAGGCTTCTAAAAGGATTTGTTTTCCTGGCACTAGAGAGTCCCTTTAATGTTATTTTCCTCTGGTGAAGTTCAGAAAAATACCGAAAAATACCCATCTCCACTTTCACTCTCCCTTCATCATGTTTTCCAATTTCTCTCTTAATTTCTTGAATGTGGGACGTTTTCCTGGATCGTCCATCCAACAGCTTCTCATTAAGTTATACACCGCGGGCGGGCAATTTTCAGGGGCTTCCATACGGTAACCATGCTGCACCCCTTCAACTACATCTTTGACTGACTGCAAAATAGAAGGAGGTTTTACGTAACAAAGTGGTTTTTATATTGGCAAATCAGGCTACATACATAAAAAGAGAAAATGTGAATTAATTTCAAAGAATTATAATTGTTTCTAAAAAATATATTATTTCTGAAATCTGAAGAGAAAATAAATATGAACAAACCAGGAAACAAATGATCAGACAAATGAATGCATCCCTCCCAAGTGTCCCTATTAAAAAGGATAGTCCCTATTTTGGGCACAACAAAACCTATCTGTTCCTCTTTTCAATTTGAATATACCTCTTTTCTAGGAGGTCCATATTGTTGGCGTTTCTGAGTCAGGGGCATAACTAAAAATCACATGGTCCTGGTGCAAGAATCAAAGAAGGGTCCCCCTTCTTGCTCTGTGGGATGTGTGAGGTGGCTGAGTGTGATTGTGTGGGTTTTGGCTGAGTGTCATTCTGTGTGAGGCTTAGCTAAGTGTGATTGTGTTGGTTGTCTGAGTGTGATATGTATGTGTGGAGTTGGCGGAGTGTGATTGTCTATGGGGTTTGACTGCATGTGGAGTGATGTGACCTGCTTGGAGTCCAATCAGAACGACATATGCATTGATAAAGGGTAAGAGCCCAAAATGTTTGCTGTATGGAGTTTGTCCTTCATTAAACTTGGGTAGCACTTTGGTGTACACAAATCATTTTGGTCCTTTCTTTTTGCTTGTTTGTGGATTTTCTGAAGCTGCAGTGGGGTTGCTTCCTGCACAGTTAGGTTCTCATGATTTTTTTGTTAATTATTTTAGAGACCTCTAACTTTGTTTTATTGTGGCCACAATGATACTTCCAGTAACAAGTCTTTAAACTACAATAAACATGTTTAGAAATCAGTTTGTGTAAATAAGATACATTGTTCTGGTTCTAAATTATGATATAGTTTCTTTTTTAACTCAATGGACAACGAGGAGTTCCTGTCCAACCTGCTTCTGTTGGCTACTGTAACTATCCTCACCAACTCTCTGCTCTACCTAGAGGGTAGTGGTAGCACCATTGGTAGGTTGTGACAATTGCATAGAACCAGATAGAGCACCAGTGGACCTGCGGCCTGCCCCAGTACCTTTGTCTGCTTCTTCTCCCAGTAACATAGGCGTGTCCTCACTAAAGAGTGTCAAAGTAGACTCTGACGCACTCTCCCTTAGTTGCTTCTTAGTTGGGCACCAAGAAGGTATAGCACTTGACCTAGCTGTGGTAGAAGGAGTTGTAGCATGAAAGGATGGGGGGGAAAAACAATTGACTCCTGAGTGTTGAATAGGATGTAATGGACATGCTGCTAATCCCACTATACTGAGTTTGATTAAAACTAATATTGGTGGCGGTGGTGATGGAGGCAATGATGGAGGAGGTGCCAGCAATCCTCATGGCCAAGGAAGAGGTGTTCCAGCTCTCAGAAGTCATGGCAATACTGCTGATTTGGTGGATTTGGTAACAGTACGCCTTCCTTTCACTCAATTTCTGGCTTAGATGTAATAGGTAAGGAATATTAATAATTGTGTATCGTGTAAGGAAACAACTTTATTCAGCAAAAATAGGTGTTGGTGTTGCAAAATGGGTTAGAGCTTGGTGGATGTACTGCTGTAACGTCATTGTGTTTGATGCACTGGCGGATCCAGGGGGGGGGCAACGGGGCAATTGCCCCCCCCGAGAAATCCGCCGGTCTCCCTCCCCTACCAGCAGCACATGCAGGTGCTAGCCCTGCAATGTGCCTGCGGACCGGAGGGGAGATCAGAGCTCTCCCTCCCCGGTCCGCAGGCACCGTGCTTACAGCCGGCGTGGGAGGGAGGGAGAGGGAGGACCCGGGAACTCAGTCTGCAGCTCCTCCGGGTCCTCCTCTCGCGATATTTGGAGCGTTGCCGCGGTTACCACGGCAACGCTCCAAATCTCGCGAGAGTGAACTCTAGCCCGGGAGCGCGGGCTAGAGTTCACTGTAACCACTGGGACCACCAATGAATCACCACTGGGACCACCAGGGATGAAAATATGTCCCCCCCTCCTCCTCCATAAAGGTAAGAAGGGAGGGGGGACATAGAATATTTGCTTTTTTTAATTAAATAAAGATATATATTATTTTAAAAAGCCCCCCCTACCCTTAACACACACACACACATAGCCCCCATGCTGCCCCCCCATACACACATACTGCCCCCCATGCTGCCCCCCCCATACACACATACTGCCCCCCATGCTGCCCCCCATACAC